AAAATTTCTTTTAAAAGGAAAGGAAGAAAGAAAGAGAACCTAGTTCAAGGTGAGTACTCTAAAGACAATTACTCTATTCGCGTTTTTCTCTCCCATAGAATTTCGTCGTCCAGAATCTGCAAACTGATTCTGCTTATATATAGGATGGTGAGATCCAGAGGGTCAGCGACATTGGCAATGGGCTGATCAAACACCGTACAATCAAAATGTTGTGTAAGTAAAGATTGAAGAATCCTGGATCCTTTAGGGACCCAGATCATTGGATCATTTAGGGAATTTATGGTATTCCAGTTCTAACTTATGAAATTAAAATAGTTCACTCTTGTGCAACTGTTAAGTACTGGGTTAATAGTTTTATTATCTATTCATCACAAGACCCATATGAAGTTCATGTTATTTTTTTCCCACTACAGAAATGAGAAAACTGAGTTTAGAAGTGTAAATAGCTCAGCTAAGGTCACCCAACAATGGTCCTCAAATCCAGGTGGATTCTATTTTGCATTTAATCTCTTTATTTATATAAAAATACATGTTGGTTAAAATTCTAAGATTTACTATTTCTCATAAAGCAAAAATCCCAAAATCAAATACTTGTATAATATTTTATATTTATATAATTCTGTAAAAATCCTTAAATACTTTAGTGTATCACTGCATTGGATCCTCATACCTACTGTATGAAATATATAGTGATGTTGCTCTAGTCCCAGTTATTAGGTGGGAAAACTGGAAATCCAGAAAGTTAAATTACATGTGCACGAAAACTTGAATAAATAGAAAATTTGGAGACTTTAACCAGATCCTCAGACACCTAAATCATTTCATTAAAAAAACCCCACAAATAGAAATATATTGATGCACTGGACCAGGGTGAAATCTTTCCAGCCTATAGGCAAACCCTGTGGATTGACGATCCCCAGTGAACAGGATTTAAGAGTTGTAGGGAACAGGGGAAGGGGACGTTACCAGAACCTCTGCAGTAAGTCCTAGTCTCCTGCGAGCCATGGCAGCACACGGCGAATTACAGGAAAGG